AAAAATGCATCCAACGAAGCAAACTAAGATCATAAAGCTGAATATTTGTCTAAAACAACCATATAAAGTAGTACACATTCTCTGAACATATGCTCGTTATGACGCCAAATCGTTTAATGACCGAGTTTTTTACATATAAAATCGAGATACATGAATATTGAACGAATACTGCTACAAATTTATTTGAAATGGTCGCCAATCTATCGTAAATGCGAGTTCGTAAATTTTGTGCAGTATTGGCTAGCGGAGAGAAAAGTTCCGAGTCAATCACTGACCTTAGAAAGCTACCAATTAAGAGTCAGCTAGATAACAGCACAAAACTCTACCTATAAGTAAAATCATCAATAAAAGGAATATCAACGAAGAGATTACAGCCGATGAATAATTTGAGTCATGACTAATCTCGTCTGCGTCACTTCATAAGCTATTAAATATATTGCTCAATTCGATTGCAGGCATAAAATTGCATATGTTGCATATTTGTTGTAAATTGACACATAAGTGCTGCTATATATAAAATGCTTATATATTCTGTCCTATACATCATGCAATGTACAAGGCAGTAGCGTAGAATTGAGTCGTATGATTGTGACAGTGAATGACTTGATCCATAGGAACCAAGGAAGTGCTACCCTTACGGGTGCTCAAAAAGTCATGCTCAAGAATTAAACATTTTTTGTTCAATGCTCTATCAAGTCTCTTCTCATTACGCAATTCATCAGAATTGGCCAATCCAATGTCAAGAAATGATAGCTGGGGCAAAATTCGCAGAAATATCAATTATATCACATCAAGTGAGTGAGAAAATGACATCAAGTAGAGATTATTAAAACGTAAATTATTAAATTAGTATCTAGTAAATTATTAGTAGTTATATTAAATTAGTAGTATCTAGTAAATTATTAAATAAAGTTGTAAAGTAATTAGTATCTAAATTTATAGTTACAAGGCCAGAACTCAGAGCCTGGTGAGTTAGCATGCGGAATAATTGGCGGAAGCCTGTGCGTCAGTCGGTGGGCCACACGTGTAATTTATAATATGTACAAGTAATGTTTGTCTGAGTAATAACAATCAGTAATTACGGCAAATATGCGCTGACAATTATAATGACATCGTCATACTACAAATAGATCATTCAATCATTAGCTCTAAAAAGCCAAATTTCCAAGCCATAAAGAATGAAGCAATGAACACGGTTGGTGAGCACAATTCTAAAGCGCTGCATTATCGTAAAATCAAAGCTAAACTTGCAAGCTACGTGTTCATGGCATTTACTATACACCTACAAGAAGTACCAACTGTAGGCACACACAGCCCTAATTAAGCCACGTGCTAAACCAATATTGTAGTTGCCCTACAGAGTGTGAGCTGAAGAAGCAAACGTTGCTTTAGAAGCCCCAGCGGTGCTCACCGCCTCAGGTCGATACTTGCTCTGTCATTTTTCTGCCGAGCTTTTGTGCAATATTCCTGTGGGTAATTGTCAGGTATTTTCATTTCTTATAGAAAAGAGTTAAGCCTGACCAGCCGAGGCCATTGAACAACATGAATGCAGCACTTCACGGTGCCTGGCCTGCCTTCGATCATTTCACAATGAATTAGAGTTGTTAGCTTTACTGTGGCTGTACAGAGAAGAACATGCCAGTCAATGAACGCACATTGTAATGCACGCTCTAGAAATTTAATGCATGTGGCCTGAAGGGTGAATAGTGGCGAGTGAATACTAAAAAACTTCAATACAGTTGATTTTAGATAAAAAAACTATGTTACCTCCGATACAGAATGTAAAATATGTCACTGAAATGATTTGTCATTAATGTTTGGAAGAAGTATTTATTGCAATTAAATAACTGAACGGCACCTCGATATATATACAAGACAGTGTTTACATTCTAGTATTGGCCTCTATCGTAGTCAGGCTAGCCAGCACATGCTTTCAAAGCACAAATTAGCATAATTAACACAGCCTCAACGTTCAAACAGCAAAAGTGCATGTATAGTTGGAACGTTTATCTAGACGCAATTAATATGAAGCCAGTGATAGCTAGTGACGGAAGCTGCGGTAATGACAGGTCAGTGGCAGCTAGTAACAGATAAAAATACAGAAGATGAGGCTAGAAAATAAAGCACTAATAGACTGCATGTAATAAAAGGGTCATTTCGTAATGTAAACATAAAGAAATCGGCCTCATACCACATAATGATGTAAGTAAATAAATATTTATTCAGAATAAAATACATAGATTAATTTTGAATTGTATTTGCATACGGTCATTATTTCCAGAACACGATCAGTGAATGTGAGAAGAACTGACCAACAACAATTTATTAATTCACTTGTTGTGAATTAATAATTGTTGAATGTGAATTGAATTAATAATTGTTGTTAATTCACAACAATTATTAATTCACACTAATTAATCGATGTGAATTAATAATTCAACAACAATTATTAATTCACAAGTTCTATGTACACAGCGCTTCAGTGACGTCGAAATGATCATGATGTGGATAGGGAGAGGGAGAATGATAGGGAGAGCATAAATTGAATGTAATGGGTTTGCGATAATAATATGCACCAAGAAGTGCGTTACAAAATTATGTTTTATATCGCAAAAAATGGGTTAAACGTCGCAAAGTTACCCTAGCATTTTAAAGCATGGGCTAAATGTCGCCAAGCATTTACCCTACTCAAGTGGGGGTAAATTGCTTAATTTGCGTCAAGTACATATAACGTACGTAGCATTACATCATATTGTGTACGCAGCTTTGTGTCGAGCAGGGTATGTTAGCGTCAAGTTGGGTGTATAGGGTAGTACATCGCTTTGGGTCAAGTAGGGTACGTTAAATTGCTTTGCCTTAAGATCCCCCTCGCAATGCACCATGGCACATCCTGGCCCCAGATATTGCTCCCCCGCTCCATGCACTATGGTACATCATGGTCCCAGATGTTGATCCCCTGCACCATGCACCATGGTATATCATGGTGCCAGATGTTGGTCCCCTGCACCATGCACTATGGTACATCATGGTGCCAGATGTTGGTCCCCTGCACCATGCACCATGGTACATCATGGTCCCAGATGTTGATCCCCTGCACCATGCACCATGGTATATCATGGTGCCAGATGTTGGTCCCCAGCACCATGCACCATGGTACATCATGGTCCCAGATGTTGGTCCCCTGCACCATGCACTATGGTACATCATGGTCCCAGATGTTGATTCCCTGCACCATGCACTATGGTACATCATGGTGCCAGATGTTGATCCCCTGCACCATGCACTATGGTACATCATGGTAGGCGATACCATTGACTTCTAAGGGCGAGTAGTTCCACGTAGGAACTATTCCACGTACGTAGCTAAAATGAATTTGTCGTATTAATTAAGGGCGATGACCGCTGGGCTGGACAGCGTTGTCCCAGCAGCAATGCATCAAAGCAACCAAAGATCATAAAGAAATTTCTTAGTCAACACCGTTTGTCAGCGCCGTGAAATCCTGTACAAATGTGAATTATGCCACGCATGCCACATTCCATTCAGTTAATAAATTTTGGATTCTTTTCGATTGAGTTAAAGAAAATTACGCTTGAAATTATTCCAATATATGTCTGATGTTGATTTTCTGTTAATTCAAATAGTTTTCTGGTATGTAACATAAATTTGTCGGCATATTCCGGGAATTTAGAATGGAAGACTATGACAAGCATAACTTGCAGCAAAAAACTACTTACTACGGCCCTTGCAACTTCAGTTGATTTGAAATTAAGCCAAAATATCAACAATAAAACAATTTCAAGAACCGATTAACCAGCTTCGAGTCGGAATTACTTCTAATGATTAAATTTTTGATAACAGTGCTGATTATTTTCTATCCAGCCATACTAGAATCATATAGTATTAGGAAATAAACAAGAAACGGGAAACAGATTTAAAAAATGCTAATTGTTCAAAACCTTTTCGCTCTAAAAAAAGCACTAGCCGTCAATGCCTACTAATTAATAAAAGGAAGGAAACTGACTGAGTAATCAGGAGTTTACTCCATTAAATAATTCAGAGACATTGCGCTAGTCTCGGAACGTGCATGATGGAACAGCGTTGCTCGCCCTGGGATATTAGAGGCTCAGGTCGAGAGTAATGACCTAATAGTGCTAAAAGAAAATAGCTTTCAGTACGAGCACAATACACCTGAGCGCCGCCTTCTCAAATAGCTCTTTCCCTGAATCAACAACGACGTCGCCAAAACAAACGTCCTGCGTATACCTTCACAACACTAATGGCTTGACTTCTGGATACTGCCGTGTCCGGCGATTGATCGCGCTCGCATATGAGTAAGGCTAATTTATCACCATAGTCAGCAGCAGGGTGAACTATTATCACAGGCTGTCGTTTTAATAAAATAGAGCTGCATGCTTCCGTGAAGAAGTATTGACATCGAAATGAGAAGGCGGGAACTCTCACCTGAGTTATGCGGCGCGCCAGAGGAAGACTAACAGTCGGCTCACTCACTGTGCCGAGGAAAATTCAAGAAGTGCTCGTGTTCTTGTTCCTTTGGTAAACAATGAGACTTCTGCTCTGCACAAACACGGCAAGGAGAGCCACGTACCCTGAATGTTTGGGTTTCGCGGACGAAGAATGGTTTATGTTTCCTTAATTGGATATATGTCGGTTTGCTTCATGAAGAGAGTAACAATTTTGATTCAGCTCGTAATTTTTTTGTTCGATTAAGAGTGACGTTAATCAAGTTGATAGATGTGCCGAATAAAACAGGTGGATGCGTGCATTCTACTATTGAGCTTCTTTTAGTTATTCTCTGTACGTGATGATTTTTTTATAATGTTCACAGTTTCTTCAGCCACTCCTATGCAATTCTCTCTCTACTAATGTGATCTTCCATCTCGGAGAGATATCTAGAAAGGAAAATTTTCACTCAAGATTTTATTATTTAATTAAAATGTTAATAGAATTTTTTTCTAATTTGAAAATTTCTTTTGTTGCAGACGAAAAAGCATCCAGTTAACCACGTCAAGCGTCCGATGAACGCATTCATGGTTTGGTCTCAGATGGAACGAAGGGAAATAGTAAAATTTGCACCCGATATGCACAACGCGGAAATATCTAAACAACTTGGCCGAAGATGGAAAATCTTAACAGAAGAACAACGGAAGCCATACAGAGAAGAGGCAGAGCGTCTAAAACAACTCCACAGTAGGGAATACCCTGACTATAAATACCGACCTCGGAAGAAAGGAAAAGATCCTCTCAAAACTATCAATGACCGTCATGGAGGGAAAATTTCAAAACTGTCTAATATTGGCATGATGCTCAAAGATTGCGTCAAGTCAGAACTGGGGAGCATGGAGCGGCCGAGAATGGGTGTGTCAAATTGCCCCAAAGGGAACGGGGCGGATGAAATAGATTCATGGTCTCTTCCCCTAACCCCCACTTCTCCTCATCGTCAACCACCCGCAAGCCCATCGGCAGAACTTCCCGATTCCCCCGAGAGTGCTTTTGGTTTTGAAGATCCGTCTAATAGGACCTGCAAGCCTCCAACAATCGGCCAGTCTAGTCCCAGTTTTCATAAGCCCCATAACAACAGAAATCAAGATTATTTCTATAAAATCAACTACAATGGCTTCGTCAAGCCGACAAATCCTTTTGCGAACGGAGAGTCAAATGCACCCATGAATATTTGTGAAAATGTAAAAATTGAAGCAGATACGTCGGCGAGTTGGTCATTCAAATCGTTACTTGGTTCGCCCAATTCTTTTTCAGCACAGGAAGATTACCGGAAAAATTATCAGGTAATGGATAAGCAGCCGGTGGACACTTCGCAACAAGCGAACAGAAGTTCCTGCGCTTTTGCATCGACTCCTAATCATGGAATGGTTGCTTCGTCTTACGGCCCACACTATTTCAATTCTACCGATCAAGCGATGCCGCGAACTGTTTTGGGATCTTCTGCATGTTCATTACAGAAAGTTCATAGTGAACACCAAAATCTTTCCGATGAAAATCATCAAAGTTCCCACTTTTATCCAAGTAACCCTAGACGTTTCGGTCATTATGCTGATTATAGTCGTTATCACCCGTATAAGCTACCTCAAACCGATTTCCGCTATAACCACCAATATCACTCGTCAACTCATTACCCCAACCATTTGACACATTCAGAGCAGCACCAACAAACACAACAATATTTCAATCTGGACAGTGACCCTCATTACCAGACAGCTTGCCAATCAGAATATATGTCTTCTTCACATACAAGTAAAGCTCATGAATCCTATGACGTGGCTGGCAATAAATCCTGCGAAGTGTTTGTCGCGGAAAATCGCCTAATAATGACAGCAGAAAATTCACCAGCTGCCTCACAACCCCCACACCATTCCAACCCTGCAACTGGAGAAGCATCGAATCATGTTTCTGTGGCTGATAAACCTGCCATAAAAACAGAGCCCAAGGAGAACGGTGCTGCAACTCTTGATGATTTGGATAATATTGGAGTGACCGAATTGATCCCGATGAGCTCAGAGTTCACCGTGAAGCTCGAGTCTCTGGAGGAAAATGATCTAAATTACCAGAAGTCTAAAGAAGAGCAATGGTTACGTGTGAATCTAAATTCCGCGACGTCTTCAAATGTTTTAGCAGATTTTGAAATCATGAATGCATGGATCAATTCATAATTTATAGACATTGGTTGGGTCATTTTAAAATAAACGATAACTGAGTGAGTTTGAGTTATCTTCAGCAGTTACTGTTTGCCGAGGAAATATCAGCAAGAAGTTTACGTGATAATGATAAGCTTAGTTACAAGGCAAAAGTTCACAATCATTGTTCAGTGTTTTCACTTGGATCGCCAGAATATTGTCAGGTGCAATTTTCTCGCCGCTTTGTTCAATGTTCAAATTAATAATTACTGCTAGGACTGCAATATGTAAATTATTAGAGCGCATATCGGCACTAATGCCTAAAGTTATTGTAATTTAAAACCAAGAATTAAATAAATAATTGATTAGCCTACCAAAATATCTCCCACCCCGTCCACCAAAAAATCTCTATCCTAATCTAAATGCTACGAAGCTCGCTATACGCACATTGGTTACATCAATTACTTCCTAAAATTACTTAATATTTTCTGGAAATCTTTTCATGCTACGATTGATAAACTTTACATTTATCAGAACGTTCATTTGGTTGTAGGTTTAGGAGTTGAAAATAAAAGTTGTTATCAGGATGTTAAATTTAAATATAATTTTTCATAAGCCCAATCACTGCTGTTATTTTGTCGTAGTATGTAAATGCAGGAAACAAGTTTTTGACGAAGAAAGTGCAATTGTTTACATTATGATAAGTTGATGTGTTCTGAAGGATAAAATATACAAATAAAAAAGTTACGAAGCAGAGAATGCTGACCTATTAAATTATCTATCTTTTTGACTACACAATATAAAGTATGTATTCATATTTTTATTATGCATGTCCATTAGAGGCGTTGAGAAGAAATTAGGGAACAAGAAGAGAAGCAACTCGCAGTTTCAAAGCGTTTAATCTTCGTTGCGCGTAATTGATCATAAGCAAATTTCGCTTTAGAAGTAAAATTACACTTAACTATATTCTGTTGGACACTACAATATGATATTGGAGACTAAAATATAGTATGTATTTGTGAAGTGACAATTAAATTCTATATTACAAAGTTCGTTGAAAGAATTTTCTGAAATTCTAATTTCCTAAACATTTCATGTATTCTTCCCACTTAATTTTGCTCAAAAATATTATCGCCACTTATCAATAACTTAACTGTTTTATCATAGGTGATTGTTAGCAATACTTCATGGTCTTGACATTCAATTATTATTCGGATTGACATTCGAATAATTGTTCTAGGCTTCATTTCTCTTTTCACCTGCACCTGTTGGGGGAACTATAATTAGTGATTTAAACCTCCAGAAAATGGCATCAAATGAGATTGAATTATAATTTACATGCATGTATGGTTAGCCAATAAATATTGGATCTAAACTCAAGTTATCCTAATATAGGATTCTATTTTTCGTGGTGTCATTATAAATTGAAAATTGTAACCGTTATTTAAAACAAACTAGTTTCTATGTGCACTCTAAGTGCAAATCTGTGTCGTCTATGTGAACAAATTTAGAATAAAGTTCAGCACTGATCATCGTGTCGTATTCATTATCTTTTCTTACTTGAGTCACCGTGGCGTTGAAATGCGAATTTTTATAGTCAGTTTGCATGAGGGTGAAGTTTAATTTTCTCCTTTCTATGAGTAATTTCACGCAATCGTGCTGCAGGATTTCGACGGATAAATCATAAAAATAATTTTTTTTAATATTCGCCTTAATTAGTATTCGGCACGATAAATTTGTAGGAATCCAAATACCAAATCGTTCTTCCATTTAATTTCATTCGTAATAGTAATCGTGCATTTATTGGTCCTTTTATTTTTTAACGCTACTACGATAATTATCTTAAATCGAATCTCTTTCCAAAAATTATTGAAGTATGTAAATTATTACATGTTGCTATTAGTAGCATTCGCATTTATTGCATTAGTTCTTAATACAGATTGATTTCGTAAATAAGTGAACATTTCTAATGAAGCCATTGCATATTTCATAAAAAACTTTCGGTTAGAACGGAACAATAAAAGTTAAAACTGATCAGAGTGAAACTTGGATCTGTGAATTGAAATAATTTGTCCTCCAATAATTACTTAAACTTATTGTTTAAGTAATTTTTAACAATAATTATTGTTGTTTTTAAAAATAATTAATTACTAAACTTAAACTAATTACTTAAACCCGCAATATAAATTCAGAGAGTGAGAAATTACGTCAGTTACCGCACAGCTAACCATCCTGCCCACAAGGCCTATAATGGCCATGCGAATAAAATTGAAATTGAAATTGAAACGCGTTTGAAAAACAAATGAAATAGGCTGGCAATTTTGAAATGCTTCAATAGTGAGAGGTAAGGGCTGCAAGTATTTAATTTTTGAGACTATTTGCTTAGCTAAATTTATTCCTAAACTTGGCGGCTTGTCATCAGAAAACAGCCACACCAATCGGTCCTCGTATGTTCGTCTGCCCGCTGCAACGTGTGTCCACCACGACGCAATTTGCGTGCAGTAAAACAGTTTCCCGTATAAAATTCAGTATCAATTTTAAAAGGCGACGCGGCGATAATTCGGCAATTTGCGATCCGCCTTCAATTTTTGTCGCAGCTTTCAACGTGTCCGCTTGATTGATAGAAAATTGATGACGAGATCGTGCAGGAGTGACGTTTGATCAAGGCTTTGACTTGGTCATTTCTTAAGCGCTTGTGTGGCCCGTAAATTAGAGAAAAATAAGCGTGTAGCTCTCGCCATAAACTGACCTATTTATATGAGGGGCCTTTCTACATCGGCTATGTACATATAAAGTGATACACAGTAGAATTTTAATATCCAATTTGTTTGTTCATTAAAATTGTGAGTAGAGATTTGCTTGATCCTAGAAGCTGTTTAAAAACGCACGTCTGATGAACAAAAGATAGTAAGAGTTTTTGCTCTCAGTAGCATGTGGATTTTAGCGAGAACAACTTTAAAAAGAACAAAATGGAAGCCGTCGGAAATATTTTCAACAATTTTCTATCATGAGTAGTGAATTTTTCAGAATTAAATGGGCTAAATTTCATAATGAAATAAAAAAATATTGTGGAGATGAAAATATTAAACAAACGTACAGATAAAAGTTTTAATTGAGGTGCAAATGGACAATAATTCTACAGAATGGACACTTATATTTAAGTAAAGAAATTAAGTCGATGTTCCCCTTCTGCTATAAGTTTCACGGCAGCACCGACTTGATATATAGTGACTCATGGTGATCAATGTTGGGGGAATTCTATGGTCACGTCGTTAAAAACGAATTCATGCAATTGGTCTAAATGTTAATTTATTTGTTCAAACATGCAACGTCCGTTAATTTGAATTCATTGAGCTACGCAGTTGACTAGGTGCAAATTTAAGTGGACTTTAACATTTAACATTAAAATTTAGGATGTATAGGATTGATTTAGATTGCTTTAATGTGATGTTTGTCTCTCCTATCAAGTTTCCTTAGTACTTGGTTCATCAACCTAGTTGCAATTAGTTCATAGCGAGTGTAGCGTGAATTCTGAACGGAATATTATCATAACAGAGGACGTTTCTGATAACAATGTTCATGCGAAATTATTTAAATACAGGCAGTTTCTTCATTTGTTTTTATGCTAACATGTGGCTCATCAATCTGATAAAAGTCTCGCTCTCTAGATGGGCTCCGTGCTTTTTCTACGCTAGTTTAAATTAAAGAAAGTCATTCGTCTGGTGGTGAGATCCATTAATTATTCTTTTTAGGGAGGCGTGACTGAACCAATTCGTGATGTGCTGCAGAAAACCCTCCTCTTCTTTGACCTCTCGGAGACGCTGGCCTACGAAAACCTGGTTACTAAATTCAGGCAATGTTATCTTACCGTTCGCCAAAAAGAGCCTTAAACTTAACTTCCTTGTAATTTTCTGTTGAACTAATCGAATGAATTCTATTCTCGCACATAAGCATTCATCTGTATGATAAATCCCCTAAGCATTCATTTTCATCCATTCGAGGCAAAATATGACGAGGAATTTACAAAGCTATACCATTTTCAATTCAATTTAACATTTGCTTGCAACCAACTACACTGGAGTCAGAACAACGAATAAATGTTTTAGTGCATTTCATAGTTAGTGCGAAAGTAGGTTGATGTTACTCATATAAAGATATTATCAGACAAGGTTTGACTCTGGAAGCATCATAATGAAATTCAGCGAAATGAACCTAACATGCTCATAATGATGAGCATTCGTGACTATGATGGCGGGCGTGTTCTGCACTCACGAACGCGCTGCTCGCACACGCAGCTGTATGCGTGCATGCGTACTGTGCGCACGCACACAAGAACGTGTACGTGCGTGGTGTGTGCATACAGACGCACACGAATGTGTAAGTACAAACATACACACGAATGTGTACGTGCACACACGCACCGATGGGCACAAGCATGATTCCTGTACGCATTTGCAGTTCGGATGTTGGTGATCACAGGAAAACAGATGGAGGTTCTGTAATTCATTTGCTTTTTGCTGCACTTGCATTTATTGCATTAGTTTTTAATACAGATTAATTTCATAAATAAGTAAACATTTCTAATGAATTCATTTTAAAGTTCCTGATGAACATCGATGAACAAAATGTTCCGAATGAAGGACTAGATACACCGCCGACGTCCTGGGTTCATACTTTCAAAACTCGCTAAGTGAACGTAAGTACTTACGCTCTATTTTCTTATCTATGATTGGTGGATTTTGCTTGGAAGGCCGTCAATGATTGGCTGATGAACTTACGATCTCTTAACTTTTTTGAAAGTATAGGCCCAGGGTGCGAGAGCCTTCGTGACGTTGGTGCAGCAGCCTCAGGAAGTTTAAGTTTTTCTTCTATGACATACAAGGTTTTAGAGGGCGCTGTGGTGCAAGTTGATTAAACAAACCTTTATATTTGAAGAAGGATTAGCAGCTGAGGGATGTTCGGAATATCGCGGGGCGTGGCACAAAGGAAGCGGTCATCACGAGGCGGCGCCTCTCAGCGGCACCGCAGGAAGCGCGGACCAGCGAACGCGTGGCGTCCCCAGCGGTCAGGTCAACGCGCGGCGTCCAAAGCGGTCAGGTCAACGCGTGGCGTCCCCAGCGGTCAGGTCAACGCGCAGCGTCCCCAGCGGTCAGGTCAACGCGCGGCGTCCCCTGCGGTCAGGTCAACACGCGGCGTCCCCATCGGTCAGGTCAACGCGCAGCGTCCCCAGTGGTCAGGTCAACGCGTCCCCAGCGGTCAGGTCAACGCGAGGCGTCCCCAGCAGTCAGGTCAACGCGCGGCGTCCCCAGCGGTCAGGTCAACGCGCGGCGTCCCCAGCGGTCAGGTCAACGCGCGGCGTCCCCAGCAGTCAGGTCAACGCGCGGTGTCCCCAGCAGTCAGGTCAACGCGTGGCGTCCCCAGCGGTCAGGTCAACGCGCGGCGTCCCCAGCGGTCAGGTCAACGCCTGTCTCTTATACACATCTAGATGTGTATAAGAGACAGATAGTACATCATGGTCCCAGATGTTGGACCCTGCACCATGGTACCTCATGGTCCCAGATGTTGATCTCATTCCATTATGTACGCGATCGCGTGTCGCAGTTATCAGGACGCGGTAGGTTATATTGAATGCTGTACGTAGCGCAGGAAGCAGCTTCACTAGCGCCGCTGTAGCATCCGGAGCCTCGCTGCCTCATTACGGTCACGCGCTCCAGGCCGCTGCCTCTCCGGTGCCGGTACCAATGCTCTTTTGAATATAGAGAATTCAATGTTTTCAATGAAGGTATGATGAATTTAATTAGCGCTGTGTTTTTAATTTAAATATTTATAGCCTAATCGATTTTAAATTTTGTTTTTAGAGCTTATTATAACTTTGTTTTTTAATTAACTTTTTCCATGAACTGTCCATAACACGTTTTAAATGAGAAAAACTTAATTTCTCTTTTTAAAAGTATTATGGACAGTTCATGGCAAAAATTCAACAAAAACAAAGTTAAAACGAGCTTTAAAAACAATATTTAAAATCGATTAAGCTATAAATATTTAAAGTAAAAACACAGCGCCAAGGAAATTAATCATATCTTCATTGGAAACATTGAATTCACGATATCTTCAAAAAAATTGTTAAGAATACAAGTACAATGAACAGTGAGTGATAATCTTACTTCTCGTTTTCTTTGTTTTAAAATTCTTGTTGAACTGGCGATTCAAGTAAACTAGTGATATGAGACCTTATGTATCAAAATCCTATTTTTATTCAGCATAAGATTGAGAGATAATTGTTATTCAACTATCATATTATGTATTACATAACACTTGATATGTATAATATTATTTATAATTTATTATTGCTTAGGAAATGCCTCATGGAAGTTTTCCGGAAAAGGACGCCAATTTTGAGTGTACATTATCGACCATAAATCGTTAGTCTGCACCTGCTGTGGCCTGAAGTTTGGCTCTAATATATGCTACGCTATTAGTTCCTTGCTATACACTCTCAATTACCGTGCTGTACTGAGCGTGCATTGCTCTAACAACGTATACTACCGCGCTATACTATTCGTACTTTGCTATATACAATTACCTACTGTACATTACCTTGCTATACTATGCGTGCCATGCTATATATACCTACTATGTACTACCGTGCCATAATACGTGTTCATTATCATACCTCCTGTGTACAGTGTATTGTCATGCTTTACCACAGTACATGAGTGCATTGCTCAATACCGTGTATTACTGTGTTATACTGTAATATACAAATGCTGCTATACCTGCTCATTAGTTGATTTGATTAGCTTCTAATTCAAGGCATATTAGTTTTTTAGGTTTTGTTCTAACTTGAGTGAGAAGCCTTCTCCCATATACGGCCATAACATTCTATTCAAAAGCTTTAATAATATACTTGAAATGCTTACCTAGAAAGCATTAGTGTGCAATCAAATGCTTTGATCAACTCAAGGGCTCCTTAGTCATCAGGATATAAGAGATTCAATTATTTAAGAAATTTTAAATAATTTTCCAATTTTTCGGTATAATCTGAAGACAAAATTAGATCAAATAGAGGTCATTCCATAATAACTTTTGCACGTCGGCTGAGAATTTAAGGGATGTGAAAGAGTACATGCTTCTTCGTCGTTAATGTTCGCGAGACAACGAAGACGTTGGAAGAGCCTCCGAAGTGGCTGGAAGTCTGGGGCCATAATTTCAAAACTTGCTAAGTGAACGTAAGTACTTACGCTCTATTTTCTTGTCTATGATTGGTGGATTTTACTTGAAAGGCCGTCAATGATTGGCTGATGAACTTACGATCTCTTAACTTTTTTTGAAAGTATGGGCCCTGGGCTGTACTGTGCCCATACTTTCAAAAAAAATTAAGAGATCGTAAGTTCATCAGCCAATCATTGACGGCCTTTCAAGCAAAATCCACCAATCATGGACAATAATATAGAGCGTAAGTACTTACGTTCACTTGGCGAATTTTGAAGGTATGGCCCCTGGAGGTGATCCATGCAAGGGAAGCTGCCGAGGGAAGGCCCCTCCTCAGCAATAGTTCGAGGGGGTGAAGACGCCGCAGGGACGTTTCCAGTGGCCAAAATAAGACGCTCAACCGCCATTTTGCGGGAGAGTTTCCGCTACGACGAACAGCGATGGAGATCTTGTGTACGAAGTCGCAATTTAAAAAAAACGTCTTTATTAAACATAGCAGTTGATATGTGTCTGTAAGTGAATGATTTGAGAACCGACAGATTTAAAATGCTCTAAAAACATGCTCGAAAATATCGATAAATTTTTCTGACCAGTTATGCAAGTGGTGTTCATTGTTCTCGGTGTTCAAATGAAGTTGCGTGGTTCTTCATCATTATTCGCAGCTCTCAAAGTTTTTGTATCGCACTGCAGGTTCTAGCGTCTGCTTTAAAATTGTTCACATTTGAGTTACTCTTTTTGATGGCAAAATTTGTTCGTACGAAACTTGTGACAGCAAAAATTCATAAAAAAAAGTTCCTGTTAGGTAAAGCGCTAAACAAGAAAATAAATTAATATCATAATATCATGAATCGTGTACGTAAATCTTGAAACATTTATTTAAATGCTCTACACAGAAAAGACGCTTTCTGTTTTCTAGTGGAATATTTTTGGGGGAATTTAGTGATGACCATTGTACATAATAGGCCATATTAAATGTTAGTTGAGTTCGGCAACTCACGACAGAACGTGAAAGTTTGGGTTTGATATCATGGTTAATGCTCGTCTTATTGTATCGGCACTTACAAAACTTCATTGCAAAAATTCAATCCTGCATTATAACAGAATTATAATTTTGGTATCGATGCAGTGATGAATTAACGAATATACGCTTATCAACATCACCGTATACCTCGAGTCTCTGCTTTATTTCAATTAACTACCAAGAAATAAACTGCCCAGCATTAGGTTTTGATCATCAAGCTCGAGAAAATCGAGCGAAGGTTTGTTGACGCGCAACAGGTAGTGGCAGATAATTCAGGCCCATGTTTACCAAGCTTCTTCCGGTGCTACGTCATCCTCTAAATCCCGGATAGCGGATCACTCTTCTTGAGGATTTTTTGTTCTTAGTGAAACGCATATCGAATGAGAGGCGGGCCCAGCCAGTGCGGACGTGAGACTGCAGAAGTTGTTCTCGTGGCCGGTGGCTGATAAATAATCCTTGCACGCAGTTAACGTTGCAGGCAGCAGCACTTCTGATTGAATGGCTATCCATAGCTGAAGAAATATTTTTAAATTCAAGGAGCAAGAATATTAAAAAAGCTCGACAAATTTATCCGTCTCTAAATTAGTTAATTTGTATTAATATAGGAAAAGAAGGATATTGACAAGCTTAAAGATTGACGAGTGCTATATGTCATTCATTTCGGTGAAAATGCTTCATCGTCACTGAATTATATTTTTCTGAAATTGAAACTTTGTGCTGCTGAAAGACTTAAATAAAATTTAAGAGATAATATATGTGATACTTATCATGTGAGGTCTAAACGCTGACCAATCCTTTCTGAAATTAATGATGCATAAAGAATTTAGTGTGAAAGAAGACATCAAATAACAAACTTGAATACAAATAGTTTAAAAATATTCATTTTAGATTATCAAAAAACTGCATTAAACTGTAAAATATGACAAGTTTACACTTCTGAAATAAATTACAGGATTTCCTCTTATATCGCGGAGTAATGCACTGAATTCCACGATCCTTCGCGAAATATCCACGAAAAGGTGACTTTAAAAATGTTCACTTATTCACTATTTTCGAAATAATTTATAGTATTAAGTGCCATAAGCTACGATAGTAACGATTTGCCGGATTTCAGGATTATCATTGAATCTGGCAAATCCTACGATTATCCAACGAATATACGATTTGCCAGATTCCAGGTTATCCAGCAATTATTTTCGTCTTTATATATTTTCGCGCGACGCATGGTTCGCTGCTATATAGTTGCTTTGGTGATTAGTCATACCAGTTAATCGAGTTTACATATCAGAGTCATTTGTCTGGAGATGTTTGCAGATATATACATTTGAAAAATTCACGAGTGAGAAAAAATTCAATTCACTTGGAAAAAATCTCAAGTAAAATGTTTTCGTTGCCTTATTTGCATATCAGAATAAGGTTTTCCTAATTAATTCAATTAATGGAATTTCCGATGAATTTTTATTTGGGGATAAATAATAACCTTCCATATACCAAAAAATTCACCTAAAATACATTTTATAGTTATTACGGGAATTGCGTCGAATGAAAAATTCGCGTAAATCCTGACAAAAGAATTGCAAAAATCAGCAATATAGCAGAAAAACACGTTATGAATGTTTTTTGGAAAACTGCGAAGTTGTTCATTCTCGATATTCGTTCCGGAAACTATAGAGAAGAAACACTGTCCTGGCCATCTAAATTGATCACATTTTATGGCCATCCAACGTTCATTTAGTAGTACTGATGCAGACATCTGAACATCAATTAAGGAGCGCAATGAAGATGTTCACAATAAATTGCCGGCGATCACCAACAGGAAAAATTGACCCATAAATCAAAGAAAAAGTAATGAGCCTTCCAATCAGAAAATTAACGATAAATTGACCATTAGCAAATAATAACTAGGATCCAGCCCATCGCGTCATATTCAATTATCCGGCAAAAAAGCTTTGGTTGAGAAACACATATCGCGGTGTTCGTTGATATATGGGACCGGAAAACTCTTCTTATCAATCTTTCTAATATTTTTTTTAGAGTAATACCATTGTTTAACAGAAATAAATAGAAAAATTTTAGCTGAATACACTTTGAAAAAATAATGGGGCATCGAAGGTATCCGCCGAGTGCCCTGTGTGAACGCGGATTCGTCCGTAATCCAGAGGCACCAGAATCCGTGGTCCGCAAGTCAACATGAAATTTGATGTGTGCTAATTACGCGGATGCTTAATTTCCGCTACTCAGGTGCACCCACG